AGAAACCCCAAGTCAATAGGTTCCGTACCTGAGGGTAGTTGACTTGTTAGAAATAGTGGGAGAGTATTTAATAAAGACCTATTAGATACTTAATTCATGATAATAACTATCTTCGCAAAATTCTGTAGATGGCAAACAACAACACAAACAACCTCGCCCTGCGTTCCATTCTGGATAAAGATAAATTGAACGGAACAAACTTTGTTGACTGGCAACGCAATCTCTGCATTGTTCTCCGCATGGATGAGAAAGAGTATGTGCTCGAAAAGCCCATTCCTCCTGCCCCTCCCGCTAACGCCCCGAAAGCGGTCAAAGATGCCTACGAGAAACACGTTAAGGATGACAACCAGGTTAGCTGTGTCATGCTGGCTACCATGATAACCGAGCTGCAAAAACAGCACGAGGACATGAAGGCCCACGAGATGATCGTGGCCTTGCGGCAGCTATACCAGGGGCAATCCAGGCATGAACGTTTTCTCGTGAGTAAGGCTCTCTTTAGTTGAAAGCTCTCTTCAGGGAACCCGGTCGGTCCGCACGTTCTCAAAATGATTGGTTACATAACCAATCTGGAGAAACTCGGGTTCTCCTTGCAGAAGGAGTTGGCAACGGACATGATCCTGCAGTCGCTCCCTGAGCTGTATAAGGGTTTTGTCATGAACTACATGATGCATGATCTTGACAAACCCCTTCCGGAGCTTCTTAAAATGCTCCAGACTGTAGAGGAGAACCTTACTAAGGGCAAGGGTGCTTCCGTCCTTATGGTCCAAGGCGGAAAGGGGAAGCCGAAGAAGGGGATTAAGATTAAGGCTAGGACGGTCGGAAAGCCTAAATCGAAGTCCACTTCATCTGTAACCCAGAAACCCATAGGAGGAGTTGCAAAGGGCAAATGTCATCACTGTGGTAAGGCAGGTCACTGGAGAAGAATTTGCAAGACATACCTCGCAACCAAGAAGAAGGAAGGTACGACCATTTCTTCTGAGGTGTATGTTATAGAAGTTAACATGTCTATATCTTCATCATGGGTACTAGATACTGGATATGGGTCTCATATCTGTACTACCATGCAGGGACTGAAGCAGAGTAGACGGTTAGCTCGAGGCGAGATTGAACTCCGAGTCGGCAATGGTGCACCTGTTGCAGCTTTGGCAATCGGAACTTATAGTTTAGTCTTGCCTAGTGGTCTAATGTTAGAATTAAACGATTGCTTGTACGTTCCTGCAATTAGCAGAAACATTATTTCTGTTTCATGTCTTGATAAGAATGGTTTCATCATTCCTATTAAAGACAAGTCCCTTTCCGTTTACAGAAAGAATGTTTTCTATGCTAATGCCAACATGACCAATGGGTTATATGTCCTTGACTTGGACATGCCTGTCTATAACATATCAGCCAAGAGGAACAAACCGAACGGTTTGAACCAAACATACCTATGGCATTGTAGGTTAGGCCATATAAACGAGAAACGCATATCCAAGCTACATCGGTCGGGAATGCT